ATCGTGTGGAGCGGAGCCCTTGTTCTACCTCTACATGTCGGATTGTTTTGGCCGAATAGAAGGCACTATCCGGTTCTCCCCCAGGTCATTGGCAGGGACAAAGACTGCTCGAGGGTAGCCTTGCCTATTATCGTTTTGGAAGTGCCATATATTGTGCCCTACCTCGACACATGGTCGGACAATCACCTGGAATTTGTTATGCTTTCTCAGGGTATCGTGGATGGGATCCCGTAACGGCTGCTGGGTGTCAAGCCGAATCAGGTCGACCTCACACCCAAAGACATTATATAATGTCGGCAACAGACGGTAGAAAGTTGACTACGTCGTCTTCGAGTTGCTCGAGGCATTCATAGTACCCAAGGTTTGCGGGCATGCGGTATTCATTGCCCGCAAGCGTGACCAGTGCAAGGGAACCAGCTGCCAAACCTTCAGGCTGTTCAGCATCCTGGAGGATATGTGACATCTTGATCCCTTGGTCTTGAGCCATCATGGCTGCCCCTGCATCAAGATGAGACAACACTGCTCCTCAGGCAGATTGATAAGAGGAACAAAGACATTCGAAACACGACAATGGCTAAGGCCATCACCTTACGCTACCCTGTACCAGGGGAACCCTACTGGAAGGCAATGCCAAGAGAGGGAGGAGTCTCTGCTGGCTATTGCCTACCTGAATTCAAATACAAGTGCATTGAGCAAAGTTGCAAAGTTTTGACGGTTTGGACGAAGATGCGTGAACAGCTGAACCACGCAAGGAACAATCGAATTTGCAATTTCATGTTTGGAACGGTGTAGAAATATATACCGGAACGGTGACTACACAAGGGTTGTATAGAGTGCGAGAGACCGGTTTCAGTTCCACCTAGTTAAGTTGTGTGATGGTTCAACTAATTCCGTCGACCATCAAGGCGGGGTGTCAGACTTTGTTGCACACCGCATGTACACATATAGAGCCTGTATAGTTTCGAGTCACTTGGATGTGTAGTATTTGTTCATATCAGTGTGACCGCGTAGTGCTTGGTTCGAGAAAAGGTTGCTGCCTAACATGAATTCAATCGCTTTGTGTTGGTTGATGGAGGTGTTGCAACAAGAACATATATTCTCGCCGATACCTTCACATTGTGCTAATATTAGTGGTCAACTGGTAAACATCTAATCTGCATGCATAGATCCTTTGCACCATTTTTGTGCGTTAGGTATGAGACGCGATCATATCAGGCCAGTAAAATGTCCAATGCTTGTGACATTGTTGTCCCATTTGGTTAAGGTTTCTTGCTCAGTCATGGCAGCATCGACTTTGGTAGGCCCAAACCGTTTTTGTTCTGGATTGTTGTCTATAACGTTTGCTCTTTGTTAGACAACTAAATAGTTGAACAACTGAATATATCGTTTCCAATTCTTGAAATGTGAACCAACTCAAAATGAGGCTACTTGGTTTTGCACTCAAGTTAGATTGAGACTGTGACCGTTGCTTCAGCCATGCAGAGTTCTTAGCTGATTGTTGTGTTAGTTGGGCTCGAGTCAACGCATGAACACAAGATACAATCTCTGATTCTTTGCAGTCCCCAACTGCACTCAGGATGTGTTGAATCAGTTGACCAAATCATCTTGGTCACAGCAACCCTTGTTAACCAAACCAGCCAAAGCAGATTGAATCACTTGAGCAAAAGACCGTGGCTCGTCGCTTGATCATGGCCGGTGATGCCCAGCATGGTGCTCAGGTCATGAAGACATTGAGTGTCTCACGTCTCGACCTGCGGACGCATCGATTTGAATAGGTTTTTGAGAGCCTCCTTGTGAATCCTTGTGGTTTCGCAGCCACTGCTTGCCCAAGGCCAACAATGTCAACCACTTTGGCAGAAATGTTGGAAAAGATGCGAGTCAGGCAATTATTGAGACTTCTTTGCACGAGCTGGACATTGGGTGCACCTTTAAAGTTCGTCCTCCCGAAGCCTTGTTTCCCTCTGCTATTTTGCACACTCTCACTTGGTGGTTGCAACAAGATGTCATGCCACTTGTTGACGTCACTGGCTGAGATAGGTCAGTTAATTCATACAGAGGTTCCCGTCTGATTTTGGCCAAAAGTCATAGGTTAGTGGGTGTTGATGCACTTTACAGCAGATTCTTAGTTGATGCCATTCCCTTATTCACAACTTGCCACACCAGCTAGTCTAAATTGATAAACACCTTTGTGCCAGGGAAACTGATGACGCACGCACTGTGCTGAGCAAGAAACTGCTGGGGCCTCGGTTTGGGACATGTTCCTGAGCGACCCGCGTGTCCAAATGTGACGTGTGTTACTTTGGAGCTACGCCAGTTGCCTGTGCCGCCGTCAAAATGGCCAGGTCGTACGTTCTCCGTCATGGTGCGAAGCAGCTGGACCTCACCATCACCAATGGAGGTGGATCGTGAGCAGTGTCATGTTGCCATGTTTTGCTGCTGATGGACGTATCCCTGCATTGGCCTTTTAGCGCATGTTTTGGCATCATGCAAACTGCAAGAAAGTATACAGTATCAGAGCTGCTGGAAGACTTGAGACAGAAATGTATGCCTTTCATCTATTTGTTTGGTAATCTTCTAAACATTTGTGACCAATTGAGCGTTCGACTTGGGGTGTCTGACGCTGCATTTGATTCTTGCCCTTGAAATGTCCTATGCTTCACTATTCAAACGTTCCAAGTTGGGCGGTTGAGGCTTTGTGTCGGTGGCAGATCTGCTTGCTATTGAAGACCTATTCGGAAATGTGCAAACCCAGGACTGCTTTTTTTTTCCTATGAGGTGCATGTTTTTTCAACCGTGTGATGTGAAAAGGAATTTACCCGAAGACTTTCATGGCATGAATCTTTTTTTGATTTGAGCAAAGACCAAGAGGAATACGGTAGCATCAGACTTTTCCGAATTCAATGGCTGTTCTGCAAATTGATGTTTCCCGAACAGATTCCCGAAAGAGATCGTTAAAAGAATGATTGTTCCTCAGATATTTTTGGTGTATCCCAAAGCTATGGATCGACTTGTCCACTCTTTTGAACTGTTTTGCGGAATTCAGTACTTCTTGAAGAAACTTTAAATAGCAGTATTAATGTGAACAATCGTTTATCGTTTCGGTGAGGATCTCTTGGAAGTGGTTGAAAGTTCCAACTCGGAGAAGCAGCGGTACGCATGGGCTTTGTACAAGTCCGACAGCGGGGAGATAATGCAATTTAGCAATTTGCGTTCAGACAGGTAAAGAGTTGCTTGCATTCTTGCAAGTGGCAAGTGTACAAGTGGCAAGAAACGGCTTGAGCAAGGAAGAACGTCATGTAGCAATGTACCTCATCACTATGGAAGTTCCTGGAACCAGTGGTGGGTGGAGAACCAGTGGTGGGTGGAACCGGGTGGATCCTCATTTATTTACGCATCGCCACCAAAAGGACAAGAACGCCTATAGAGGGGACAAGAACGCCTATAGAGGGGACAAGAACACCTACAGGGCGCAAGAACGCCTAAGCTTTGGTACCTGCTGTGCACAAACGAGGCCAAAGAAAATGGATCCTCAAGACTCATTTTCACTCCTTTCTTGGTCAGCAGCCTGCGTGCGCAGAGCTTCGAAGGTTTGACATGCGTTCTTGCTTGCAGGTACGAGCTCATGCAGGAGGAGGAAACATGGCTCATTCGGGCCACCACCAAGCACACGATGGAGGCCGTGTGATTTGTTCCTTCACTTGCACTATACATAAAGGCCCTCAGAGGCCACACAACAGAGGCCTATGTCCCTCGAGCCTCCCGTGTTGAGAGATTTGTCATTGCATGGAATCCAAAGTGCTGAGTCATGAGTCATGCTAGTTTGTCCATTGCCAGGGGATTCAGTCGCCACCGAAGCAGAAGAAGTCACCAAAGAAGAGCAGCAAGGCCAGCCAAGAGAGCCAGACTTGGACCACACGCACTTGTGCTATTGCTTGGCTTAGTAATGGGTAGTTGTGGTCTGCTTGAGTGAATGCTGGTGCATTTTCACTGAAAAAGGCCACATTGATGGCCGCCTGTTGCTGCGAAAGAACCTCCAAACCGGATTTACTGATTTCGAGTGTCAGGATCGGGTGCCCACGCGGATCCTTGATCAAGAGGAGTTCTGCCTCACTTGGAGGCGCAAGTCGATCTGGTGAGTCGAGGGCGTGTGGTCTGATGCAGCGCATGTTGCTCGGTAAGTTGATCTGGCTTCCAAATTCAGTTTCCAGTTTCTTTTCCCACAACTGGCACAAAGGCAGTGGTGGATTTCACCTATCCCTTCAGAAAAAATATCAAGTGATCGAGTCTAATCTTCTGGCTGCGAGGATGTTTGCAGCTTGCAGCATCCAGCTCTGCTTACTTCCATGTTAGATGGTCCAATTTTGAGGCATCCAGACCTTGCCAACAGCCCAAGGCTGGACAAAATGGCAATGCAGCGGCTGGCAGAGTTGCCAGAAGCCAGTCTGATCCCCAAGATGGCTGCGTTGGACTTCAACAAGGGTTCAGTCAACGGCTATTGGCACATCGAGTTGGTTGGCACTGACCCCTTGTCAGGTCGGCAGCAAGCCATGCAGCGCTTCAACCCAGGTCCAGAGGCTCGTGATCCGAAAGAGTTTCAGCATTTTGGGACCTTTGAATCCACATCGCTAGGTGGAAGGCCATCGCTCTTAGGTCCCTTGAACATTCATTGGCAATAGATGGTTGGGGAGAAGGCGGGTTGAGTTCCCACCGGAGCTTGCCGGAGCGAGGTGCCGGAGTCTGACTTCCCGAAGCTCTTTGTGGCCTTCCTGAAGCGCTTCAAGAGCAAGGACTGACGAGCGAGCGCTTTTGAGGGGTTGATTGTTTCAAGCTTCTGTACCAATGCCTCTTCTTTGGCAGATGCATGACAGAGTGTGAACTGGGCTCCTGTTGTGAAACAAGTCCATGTTATCCCATCTTACATGTGTTCACTCCCTTGGCGCGGGTGCATGACCCTGTCAATACTAGGGAATCAAGCAACTATATAAAATGAGTGAGGTTGTTGGCATGCTTTGCAGCTGCTCTGCCAGACCACACAGCCAAGAGTATGACCTTGTCCGCAGGAGGGAGGTGATGATGATGAGGCGCAAGATTGGGACAAGCGGCATTTTCCTCCCGTGAACAAATCGGTCCTTCAAAAGAGCTCGTCTTGTGTTTCTGTTTGGGTTGGTGTGAAGAGAACCACAGAAAATGATGTTCATTGAGCTTCCAAGTCAGGGGCGGAGGGGGCAGAACTGGCACTTGAAGTTAAAAGTGCAACCAGTTTAATCACAGATCTTAACCTCTAATAATCGGGACCCACACTTGGTCGTTGAAACTGATTGATTTCCGGTATTGACAGTTACTGTAATCCAACTAGAACGGTCTCTGAAATCCATGTAGAACGGTGGGATGGAAATTCGACTCCCGCCATGAATCGCTGCACGGATAGGCTCAGAACTTCTTCACTGACGGAAGATTGTCTCTCTGATTGTTTGTGCTCCATAAGTTCTTTCTCAGAGGTGATGTGAAGCCCACATCTCTTGGTGTCACGCTGACAGGGCAAAGGCAGCTCTTCATCACCATCGTACGGAACCAAGATGCTTTCAGTTTTTTGTGCTGGTTGCCTTGGCTACTGTATTAGGAGTTGGCACAGATGGTCTTGATATGGAACGAGCTTGTTTCCATTCTACAGTCTTTACTTTATATAAATGAATCTTGCATCATCCTTGTCCCGGCTTTCGGACATCTCGTCTTGGCACTGGATTGAGGCGACGAAAGGCCCACACACCTGCACGGAGGGAGGCTGGAAGTGGCTGCAGGTGAAAAAATCCATGGCTGTATGAGAAGAGTAATGGTGCTTGAAATAGACGCCACAAGTGGATTGAACCATCCTCCCACACCTCCCAACCTACGTAGCCCAATTGTAGAAAAGGGACCCAATGTTTGGAACCCTTACCTCTAAGACCCATGTTTCGTTCCAATTTTGCTCCCCACTCCAGCAAAAGTGCTTCAGGTGGATCGGGTGCCAGAGGAGTCCGGCTCCGATGGCTTGGCTCCAGGTGTGACAGCCAAATGGGCATTGGCATTGGATTGTGATGAAGTGGGGACCATTTCTCAAGTGGTGCTCCCCATGCCCCCCCATTTCTACCCACTATTGAGAGATTTGGGCACTTTTTTGCTCTACACCCACAACATCCGTAAGATGAGGTCAACACGCCAGTGGTCAACCAAGAAGGTCCTGAGTAGAAAACAGTGTGTTTTTCTTGCTTATGCGGTGGACAGTACCATGTCTCTCAAAAGCTGTGCCAAAAACTAGATGGTGAGAGCTGTCAGCGAGTCAAATGACTTTCGCTTGTCACTTTCATACGTTATTCCCGTTGACCTAGTCCTTTCCCGACACCTGAAGAACGGGAGTCCACTCAAGTTCACTTTGGTGGATAGATATCATTGTGGTTTGTACTCATTTGGACTGAAATGCCACTTCATCGAGGATCCATAGCGCGACTTGCGGACAGTCCATGCCACAGCCCGGTTCAGGGCATCATGGAGGATCCATAATGTTGAATGGCACCACAAGTTCTTGCGTTTTCTCCTCTGCTGCAGTGCAGCTGCAGCGACGTTTTGGCAAACCATGCTTGAGTCATACCATACATTTTAGGGTTTAGGGTGCTAGCAGGTTGAAGGCCATCGCTCTTAAGGTCGAGTTCCTTTCTATCAGACTCCTGGGTCAACTCCCCGGAGCTTCAATGGGCAGGCGGGGCTCGTTTTCGGAGTCATTTCCATTCCGCTTGGGCTTCCTTTTCGTTCAATCCAGCCGGTGTTGTGTGGGACTCAAAAGAGGGCTTTGCTTTTGAATGAGGACAGATTCATCCCAGGTTTTTCGTTGGACTTGGATGATGTGTCCAGGTGCTGCAGATCAATTCTAGTGTAGTTTCCGAGAATCAGTGTAGTTGAAGTTGACGCGTGCCTATGCAGTCTGGGCATCAGGACAACAAAACAAAGATGGTGTTGCAATTTCCTTTCTGACAGTGATAGAAGGGCCCTCTTCAGGCCGTGCATGATGGATTATTTGAAAGTCTTTACGACAAATTCTACATGTTCTGTTTCCAATGATGGAACTGCGTCTTGCCCACATTTTGGGCGATGGCTTTTGCGCACATTTTGGGGCGGGTTGCAGGGTGTAGGACTGATGACCCAGCAGACCGAAGACCCTCAGACCCTCAGTTCCTCAGTTCCAACAGCCTCCATATGATTGAACAGCTGAACTGGGATTGCAGATCAGGCCCGTGATACAAAGCTTGGCCGTTTTGTCGGCAAAATTTTAGTCACCGGGCGAAAAATAGCAAGAGTTGCGATTGTTTCTGCACGTACGCGACAGAAGTTTTCCATGCCGCTGCTTTTCCATGGTTTTGCAGCGCCGCAGGCACTGAGGTTAGATTTTGCATGATTTTGCGCAACGTGACATTACTTTGGAAGAACTTTCCAACCCTGATTCTTGACAGGAGTGCCGAAGTCCGCAGCAAAGGTTAATGCAGGACCAATAGAGGGTGCGGAGAGCATTTCATGGATGGCCAGCGAGCCTTGAACTTGAACAAAGGGTGACTGGCTTTCAAACTTGAACGAAATGACAAGCGTCGGACCCTGACAAGGCTCGATGCGAAACAAGGACCAAAGACCAAGACCGACATACCCTTTAACAAGAACTTAAAGAGGCCTTATCAAAGCTTTCAGGGTTTATCACGTATTTTACAAGTTGGTAAATTGCTTGTTACCTTGAGCCGATCCTGCCTTCATGTCCTGCGTTCTGCTCTCAATATGTCTCGCCTTCAGGACTTTCCTGGCATGCCTGCCAGCCCCGAACAAGGGCCAGGACACTCAGACCAAGTGTTGACCGGGTGTTCGGCCGTAGGGTGTTGGGCGGCAGAGCCTTGGCCCTCCGCATCGGCAAAGGCTTTGGGAGTAATCATGAAATAGCTTCTGTGTTGAGGAAATCGAGTTACTTCACAGCATCATGAGATTCCCTGCGCATCGCATCGACATTGTGTTTTCCCCCGTCGGACAGTGGGGGGTCAGGGCTTCTTATGGCTGCTACGAGAAAGTGTGCTTTGTCATGGAAGAGTCTGCCTCCAACAATCCATGGTTTGGACGAGAAGACGTGCCAAGACATGTTCCGCTGGAGGTCTGTGAGCCCGCAAGCCATGCAAATGTCGCTTCAACAGCCGCAGATGCCGCCGCCAGGGCCCTGCGATGCTGACTTCGTGATGAAGGGGAGTATATAGTCGGAGCAGTGGATCAGAACAAGGAGAGTAGAATCAGGAAGTGTTTGGTATTGCTGCGGACCGTGGGTCTCTCCACGCCCCTGGACGTCTGTGAAAGAACTGTTCACAGGATTTTCTCAGTTCTCCTAGGACTCCTGCTTTTTCGCAGTCCTTGCAGCTGGTGCAGGGCAATATCGCCCCGTGTCTTGGCCGCTGCCATCGGTCTTTACCGGTCTTGGAATGACATGTGCTGCTTTTGGTTCAGACATGTGGGAACTGGTCTTCATATTGACATGATCCCTTTCGTCATGGAGTGTGAGATTGTCCTGTTGTGCTTCTGTTCCAAGAAGGTATGCATTGCGAGACCGTCGCTCTTTGGAGCAAGTGCCTTTCAACGGCGGAAAACAGTGAGATCTACTGGGTCCTTTTTCGCTCACCTACCTAAGTATGAAGAAGTAACAGGTGCCACGCTAGTAGTAACAAGTGCCTTACTAGTAGTAACAAGAAGCTAGTAGGAACAAGTGCCACGATCAAAAAAGATTGAAGACCACAGTGAAGGAGATGGCCACCGATGGCCACCGATGGCCTGACCTTGGGTGACTCCGTCCCCGTCTTCTCTCGCTCTGTCACCGGCCCTCTCCATTTGGGCCAACGTCGGCCCTCAGGTCGCAAATGCAGGTCCTCTCGACGTTGGGGAGCTGAGGTTTTCACATTCCAACCACTTTGGCGTGCATGGGGAGCTGATGTTGGTGAAGAAAGAGTGATTTTTTGGCAGGTAAGTCCGTTTTAGGGTTTAGGATGGTTTAGTGGATTGCGGGTAAATATTGCGCATTCAGGTTGCGCAAAGCTCCAGACGCCACAATCTCCTTCAACAGTTGCTCTTGCGCTGTGCAACGCTTGAGCTTGTTTCGGTCACCTTCCTCATTCTTTTTGCACCATGCTTGCAAGTGCATGCATGTTACCTCTTGGTACACCGCTAAGTATACAGTTTGGTTCTCTGCCAATCTAGTTTCCACTAGCCTATTCTACCCGTTCACCAGACGTCAAAGTTAGCAATACTTGATCAAGGCTGTACATGGATTGATGTTGACATCATGCAACTATTCTTGTATATACAATATGTGTGTATATCTATATACACACAAACACACATGTGTTTGTGTTATATACACATTCTAAACCGTTTTATGCACACATGTTTGCGGAGCTCCCTTTTTCTCCGCTTCTCAATCTGCACCTTTGTAACAAACACATATCTTCGGGTTTGTGGCTCAGAGTGAGTTTGCAAGGTCTTCTCCCACAAGCAAGGCCTCTGGTGCCGCCTTTGGAATGTGACTTGGAACTGCAAAGACATGGTCGCAGGAGGAATTGGCTGCTGTTTCTTGGAAACCCATAGACTTGATTCATGATGTGTAAAGGACTGGCTTGTTTCTTCAATTTCAGGAACGAATTGCAGTTCAGGTCCGCTGGAGCTGGGTCGCCTACCTCGCTTGCCCAGCCCATGGGGTCTCCAACAAGCCTGACCAATTTTCCGGACATGATGCAGGGATACCAGAACTTTCAACAGATACCTGCTTTCCGACCGCAACAGATCCCTCAACCACAATTCCAAACCCAGCCACAACAATTGCAGCAGATGCAACAGCACTTGCAACCTCAACAGCTGCAACAGCAACAGCAGATTCAACAGCAGCAACAGCAGCAGGTACAGCAACAGCAACTTGTTCAAAACCAGCCGCCACAGGTGCAGCCACATCAACAGCTGCAACAGCAACAACAGCAGTTGCAACAGCAGCAGCAATTTCAACAGCAGCAGCAGTTGCAACAGCAGCAACAGGCTTTACAACAACAGCAGTTGCAACAACAGCAGCAGCAATTGCAACAGCAACAGCAACTGCAACAGCAGCAGCAATTGCAACAGCAACAGCAGCTGCAGCAGCAACAGCAGTTGCAAAAGCAGCAGCAGTTACAACAGCAGCAGCAGTTGCAGCAGCAACAGCAGATGCAACAGCAACAGCAAATGCAACAGCAGCAGCAATTGCAGCAGCAACAGCAGCAGTTGCAACAACAAATTCAGCTTCAGCAGCAACAGCTGCAACAACAGCAAATGCAACAGCAACAGCAGGTCCAACATCAACAGCTTCAAATGCAGCAGCAACAGCAGCAACAGCTGCAACAACAGCAACAAAAATTGCAGCAGCAGCAGATGCAAGAACAACAGCAGCTGCAAGAGCACCAGCTCCAACAGCAGCTCTCGCCAGAGCAACAAGACCAGCTGCCCTCGCAAATGCAGTCGATTCTTGGCTGTGCACTGAAGGAGTAAAAGGAAATGGTTTCCTCTTCAAGTGATGACTCAGAGGTGCACCCTTCAGGTAAGCTTGCTGACATTCTTTGCAGCCTCCAGCTAGGAAGCCAGCCATAGATGCACGACGTCGACCATTGGACCAAGAGTCTTCAGAGGGTCTATCCAACCCGGGCCTAGACTCTAGACACGGTTCAGTTTCCCAGGATGCACATGCCGCAGCATCCTCCTCCAGTCCATGCACCGAAGCTGCCAGAAGGAGGAGGACAGGTACGGTCAGGTCGTGCGTTGAGATCTGGAATTTCTTTCGGAATGGCGGCCAAAAAAATGATACCCTGTAGAGTTGGATGGGGCGGGCTTGAACTCTAGCTCCTGTCGATGTGAGGACTATCGACGTCGCTGCCTCAGAATCAGGCTTATCGCGAACATGAATTCCTCTCCAGCTGAATTCTTTCTATTTTTCTTACATCCTTTTCCAGCTATTTCCAGCTTCCCTTCATTTTGGACATTTCCTTCCACGCCTTGTATGAGGATGGCACCATCCCAGGGGCCTTGGCCTTAGACGTTTTCAGGGTCAGTTGTAGAAAGCCTCCGATTGAAAGAGAACGCAGCCTACAAGCGAGACATGCGTGCTGAATCGCCGAGTCTAGCGAAACAGTGACATACAAACTGAAGACCAGGTGGCCTGTAAAGTTAGGCAACATGCCACCATTCAGTGGTTTGGTGAGTTTGGTGGATCATGTTCTGGAGATCTCCTTTCTTGGACCTTTTCCCATGAAGTCGGGCAGTGACGTTCCAATCCATCAGCAGGTTCAGCACGGAGGCATCTTTGTCTCCAAGCGCAGCTCCCAGGAGCTCCTCGGGTGAGGAGGATTTGCGGTAAGACTAGGCCTCTGGGCATGTTTTGTGAGACATTCCACATGAAACAAGGTGTTTGAGAGTTTGACCTGTTTCCTGAACCTATTCTTGGGGAATGGTGGCAGGCGTGTACATTTGTGCATGGTCGGGTCAGAATGCCGGGTTCCCTCATTTGGAGCCAATGATCTTTCCAACAGATCTGCACGGCATTCTCCTCCGCATGGAGCCATGCCATTTTTCCGTCCAAATCCCGTGGAGGTGGACCAACCCAACCGAGCGCGCTTCGCCTCGCGGCGAAGTTCGAGTTTCACCGAGTTTTTCCTTCAAATCGCTGAAGCCACCATGCTTCGAGGAACTAGAAGCTTCCTTGGGAATCGTTTCAGTGCGAATCGTTTCAGCTGTAGTAACAATAAAGCTTTCTAGCAACAAGTGCATCGCTTCTAGTAACAAGTGCCTTACTAGTAGTAACAAGAAGCTACTAGTAACAAGTGCATCGCTAGTAGTAACAAGTGTTGCATCTACCAATAAAGCTTTCTAGCAACACCAAGAAGCTTTCTTCGTGTTCGTGGCTCTACCAGGATCTCTGCGACGCCACCACCTCCCATGCATGCACCCCAGGCGAGAGGAAAAGGGGATACAGAATGGAGGCGGTGGTCCGGCTATGCCCAGACATCACACATATGGGAGCACGCAAATGAGAGCACCAACAGTCTATAGAGTCTATGGATGCTAACAATTGCTAACCAACATCTAAGGGTTTTCTCCCTTTTTTCTACCCGTCCCGTCGTCCCGTCGTCCCGTCTCTGGAAAGAAGCGTCGCATCATCTTCCTCCAGGTCGGTGTCCGATCAAGCGAGTCAAGGGACCCAGAGGACCCAGAGGACCCAGAGCGTGGGCGCGTCGAGGTGTGACGGTGTCACGTTAATGTTGCTCATTGCTTTTCATTGACCAATCATCTCTGGACCAATCTTCGTTCCATCACTTGGCATTGGCTCTCCTTGCAAATTCAGTTACACAAGTGTGAGTGGCTGTTTGGGGACCTCAAAGCTCTTTTGTGATAGCAGTGATGCCTGTCAGATTTGTTCGAAAAGCTCAGGGTTGATGGATCGATGTTTATTCAAAGCAGTGAACAACTCCTAAACTTGCAGCTTCGCAGCTTAGGCCAGAGCCCTCGCGACCACCAGGCGCATTTCCAAGGGAGCATGGTGCAGACGCGCCGGGTGCTGCTCGTCAGGAGAAACACTTTGCAAGTGGATGCATGCGTTTGTCCGTTCGCAACTTCCATCAGAGGCCGTGACAAGAAGTAGTTGTTCCTTAGTTTTGGTGTGCATTGCCATTCAAACACGCAAGAGAGCATCCATGACAGATCTAGCCTGCTAGTGAATGTCTATATACTTGGTGGTTGCAACATCAAAGTGCTTGGATCTCCTGTGGGAATAACATCTAGGGACCGACACATGATTATTTCCCACAGCCACACAAAGGCCTGCCTTTCATGGACAAAAACCGGTGCCACTTGAAGCGCCCTGAGCAAGCCTATCACCACTGTGTGCGAGTAGTCAGCTTGTTCCATTGCTTTGGATCTCTTGTTTCATGGATAGATTCAATGGGAGGTGCACAGACAAGCTTCTGCATGCCACTGCGGGTGTCGTTTTTTGCTTTTGATCTTGAGGGTGTGTGGGGATGCCCATGTCCATGTGTCCTGCGGAGGCACTTTCATTCCGATGAGAGCAACGAACTTGGACTTGGACTTGGAGCTGAGAATTCCTCTTTCGGAACTGGACCTTCAACCTGCGAATGCTTGAGTTTGGCGCGGCATGGCGAAGGAAATGAAAGAACTAGTAGTTCTAGGTAGGAAAGATGGGAAGTAAGAGACCCTCTTCGATTCTCATCAGTGAGGTGTGTTGCTCGCTTTGCCCGTGTTACTATGTGTCACTGTGTGTCACCGTGTCACCTTCTGGCTCAAAATCAGGGTATGACCCTGGCCACCAAAAAGCCTCCCGGAGGCCCTGACCCAGAATGGTCTGACTGTCACGTTTTTTCACTTTCTGGTCCACAATCCCAGAGATGTTCGGAAATCGTCCCAGCAGTGCAGAAAGGATCTTCAGCTAACGCTAACATGTTTGATTCTTTGCACCCTCTTGCAGGCAACGATGGGTCGAAAACGTGGTGGAGCGGCACAGCAGCATTGATGGGAAAACTTGATTGATTAAAAAACAGCAGCACCTTGCTGCTACAACCTTTGGAAACCCAAGCACATCATTGGAGATACGAATCGAATTGACAACCATCTCTTGTCACTTTACAAGAGCTTTACGCGCCTGGCAAGCTTCGGTTTCAATGCAAATGTATATAAAGTTCATGAGATGTCTATGACGTGCCCACCAGTTTTCGTGGCTCGAATGCTACCAGTGTGATGTTGCCTTGAGCCACATCCAAGGAAGGCGGTGGAGAGGGAGATGCTCCGGCGCCACTTAGTGTTCCGGCAGGAGAGGGCTTGTTTGATGCGCACCAATGGCTTCAATGCTGTGTGAGTCCTGTAACCAGCGAACGTCCCGAGGGCAACCACCCCTCCGAAGGACAGATCGCACTTGCAAGTGCGATTTAGAGGTTATATCTTGCTGTGAGGTCTTCTCTTTCTTCTCAGAATCTGTTCTGTTAGTTTCTTAACGTGTTGACCATTTGCAGGGTCAAAACGCAATCGCTTCAATTTCTTGACCCTGAATGTTCTCTCCTAGGTAGAAGGGCTTTGACAAGTTAGCATCCCTGACCGCTTTTCAGGAGCCTTGGATCCAGCAGCTTTAGGCTTCCCCCCTCCTCCAGGCTTTCCCGGAGCACCTGGTGGCCTGCCGCCGCCAGGTCTGCCACCTGCACCACCAGGCTTTCCCGCCCCAGCAGGTCTACCTCCCCTGCCAACTGCTCCACCAGCGCCTGGAGCCCCAGGGGCGCCAGGGGCCCCAGGGCCTACTGGGCCTCCCACGGCACCAGTAGGCCTTGGAGCTCCCACTGCGCAGTCCTTGTTGCCTCCGGGCCTAGCCGCTTTGGACCCTCGTGCACCGGGCTTCGGGCAACTGCAGCTGCCGCCTGGGCTTCAACTGCCAGGCCGAATGGTTGGCGTTGGTTTGCAGTTCTTGCTCAAACGAAAGGCACGAGTTCATAATGTTGGTGTATAAGTCTCATGAGTCATTGTTGCTAGTGAACGGCTGTTTGTTGGGCTCAAGGTTGGCCGTGGTTGGCTCAAGTACCGGTTGTCGTGCTAAGAATGACTGGGCCCAGCAATACTCTGTCAGGTGCTCCTGGAGGTGCTCGGCCCTTCCTGCCGCCGCCTCCTGGTGGGCTGCAGCTGCCGCCCGGCTTGGGGGGTTTGCCCGGACTGCCTGGGCTGCCGCCCGGGCTTGGGCATCCGCCCATGCCGAAGCTAGGGATGCCACCACCAGGCTCCTTGGATTCGGAGGCTTTGGCGCAGATGAGGCTCGGAGGGATGGTAGTGGTCCAAACATTAATCTGACAAGCCTAGTATCCATTTGTCTGTAGATTCTGGGATACGAAATGGATCTCCCGCTGTGTCACAGGTTTCAGCAAGTGGCCACGGAGTACGAGCAGATCAAAAGTGCTGGGATCGATCCGCAAGTGGCAGAGCTAGCTGAATACCACAGCTTAGGCACAGCCCGAAATGTAGCACAGTGTTTTCATCCAGGGATGCTTCGTTACATCTGAGCTTGGGTGTCATCTTTCGCCCCGTAAGTAGATTCCACTGTGAAGTTGAACCCTTCTGAACAACTGGCCCCGACGATGACTCAGCCCTGCAGATGAGCGAGCTACTCGCGCGCTTGATGAAGAAATGAAGAAGCGAAGAGATACGCAACATGGCAGCAAGACCTTCACAGATTGGACCCATAGGAGCAAGACCTTCAACAAAACATTTACGAGATTGCTGCTTTGCAGATCCTTATTTACTGCCTGGCTGACTCATTTCGACGCATCTGGGCCCAGCCTATGGGCCTCTATATAGGCCTTGAACAGACTACACGCCTTCAAACGACCTGCTGAGGTTTGAGTCTGATTTGCAAGCTCTTTGGGTGGGGCTGGAAGGGGCAAAGAACCCATCAGGAGATGGGATGAGTGCTGGATTTTCTTTCATGCGACGTCCTGCAGCTGGCTTTACACTTTCCAGATGTTCTGCATCCTGTGTAGTTTGAAGGGTTACAATTGTCCGCTAGACAGAACAGAGAGCTTGCAAGATACCGATCGCTGCTGGAAGTGCCACCCTTTTGGCATGCTCCTTCCTTGCCCCCTGATAGGAATGCTGATGATGAAGCTAAAAGATATGCGCATGGGCACGTTCAAAGGGATGACGGCACTTGACAAGAAGGCCATGACAGATGCCACAGCCATGAGTTTGGGGTTGTCCGAGCACCGTTCCAAATACATATAGATCATGACTCAAAAACGTACAGCGGAAAGAAGATCATCAAACAAAAGGAGTAGGATGCCTTCATTTCCAAGGCAAAGAATTTCCTCGCGAGACGCACTTGGTGTTCCTATTTTGTTGCACCCCTCACAGGAGCTCCCTTGAGATTCTCATTCAAGAGTTTAGAGTCCCTGGAGATTGATCAAGAATCTGCCTGGGATTCTTGGACTTCTTTTGGATCAACATCATGCCTCTCCTCCCGTTTTGTAGCACTGACTTGTTGTGCCTCGGATTCGCGACTCCACGTTGTGTGTCGATCACCTGTGCAGATTCACGACTTCGCCAAGAGAAACCGCTTGGATGCGCAGGCTGCCGTGAAGCTGGCTGAGGCACGTTTTCGTTAACACACGGGATGCCTTGTGGAACTCAAGACATCAGGCTGTCATTGAGAAGGGAGGAAACGATTTCGGACCGATTTTTGTTTTCGTTAAGTTGGATGAGTTTTGGTGCTGCGACAAAAGGTGCGACCTGATCGATTTTGGGGTTGCATTTGGCCACAGGTCCTTCAAAACCGCGCAGACATCGACAATGACTTGGCGAAGCTCGCTAAGCGGGGAGACCTGGGGCGAAGACGCCAGTTCTGTTTGGGCGGGGACTCCCTGCTGGGGAACTCCGGCCGAGCGGGAACCACCCAGTTGGGTTCTCATTTGTCATGTCCCAGCTGGGGTCCTTGAGCTCAAGTCTTTCTGTTGCACAATGACGGTGTCCCACAATCATCCAACACGTTTTTGACTTGGACCCCAGCTTTCCTCGCCGTGCAAAGCCTCCTACTGTAGCGAGTCCCCGAAGAACAATCGTCCAGTGAGTCCCGACGAGGCACTTGGAAAGATCCAACAAGCCGTCGTCCCTGGTGATGATGATGCTTCGGGACCTCCGTGAGGGGAAACCCATCAAGGACCAGCCAATGTGCACGAACAGCCCCTGTAGTGGTGGCTCCGTTTGATGGACGGAAGTTCAGACTATGCAAAGGCATGAGCTTGGTCAATCTTTTCCGTTGAAAGATTACAAGAGAGCTCAGGTCTGAACATGACTGGGATGTCCTGAAGCAAACAACTCCATTTTGACTACGGTGGAGTTTGGATCCAGTGAGCATTGGATTCTATACAGTGTTTGACTTAATGTTCCTTGGGGGTTAACTGCAACAAAGCCAAGCTTGAGAAATCTGGAGTGCTTACCAATCCTGGCTCCAAATGATGCAAACACACGGCCCTGCAGGACCCTGAATACCAGCCTGCGATTGGCAGTAAGGCAGCATGGGCCGCAATGGATAAGACGTTTGTTGGACTGACCAGAGGCACATTCAATAAATGATTGGGCAGAGGCATCAGCGAACAGGTGGGCAAAGGTTTATCATTTTGGTTGGCAGCATGAAGAACTACGGCCTCTCAGTTTCCCTTGAGCCAGGTTCACGAACGTGAGCTGCGGCAAGCCATGAAGGACTTCAGATCAATGCGCGTTGTCCACGCACCTTTATATAGAGGCTTAAAGCGTTGGACCGCTAGACCATAGACAATTGAACGTCTCAGGGTCACAACTAGAATATGTTCTTTCTTATTTTCCTAATCCTTTTTCTTGTTTTGTTCTTAGATTGTTCCCCACCTGTCAGGTGAGGGTTGTTAGATTTTATGTCAGCCCCATCTCCTCCGCCTCCTCCTCCTCCTTCTCCCTCTCCTCCTCCTCGCCCTCCTCCGCCGGACCTCAACCACGACCATCCACGCCCAGTGTTCCTTGCCGGACCTCAACCACGACCATCCACGCCCAGTGTTCCCTGCCGGA